AATAAAAAAGATTTTCGTTGTCAAAAATCTACCAGACAACAACTTGAGTAAAATATTTTCCAGCAAGTAAAATATGATTAATAATATTTGAACATAAAGAACTGAGAAGATATATTGTACTATTGAATCTTACTCAATACAACTTAAATTTCAAATGAAAGAAACAATAGAAAGAAACGTTGATAATATGTTCCACATTTTTATATAGCTTACTGTAATAGGGGTTGAAGAATTCCCAAATTAAGTAAATGATCACGGCAACTTGGCGAATCTCCAGATATATTTCCTAAAGCCCAGACGGCCTGCTCTTGAACATCATCATGGGGACTTAGTAAAAGATCTATGAAGACAGGCACAGCACCTTCCTCCACCACAATTTTAGTTTGATTTGATGTTCCTGAAGCAATATTAGTCAACGCCCAAGCAGCTTCGAACTAACATTGAATATTATTAAGTTATTAATTATTTGTTGTAAATTTACATATATCACTGCTTTGGATTTTACTTGTAAAGAGGCATTAGAATTATTTCCCAGAAAATATACTAAACGGGGAACTATCCCTTTCTGTATAACTTCTTCTATCGGCGGGTTTGGATCCCGAGACAATAGCCTGCGGAATTTCTGCGTAGCATCAAGTTGATCGGCTTCATTTTCACTATGTATTTGGTCTATTAATTCCTGTTTAATTACAATATCAACAGTTCCGAGACTTTGCTCACACAGTATTTTTGGAAGTTGCAGTTCTACATTGTATTGATGTGCACCACTCTGCATTTCAACCTCCTTTTAAATAAAAAGCAAAATAAATAGATGCAAAAAAAACCGAAAATATATATATATATATACTTGGCTGCCTTCCTCATTTTCAGATTGTTGTACTTCGGAAACAACATTACGTCTTTTAATTAATTGTTGCTCTCGTTTCTGTTTACGAATCTGGACACCTTCTTCTTCACGCCTTCGGCGCATCTCCGTGGAATCCAAAGGCGTGTTTTTATAGCGATGCCTATGGGTCGTTGACATGGTGATAAATAAATAATTAAATTCTTTTCCAGAGACTATGCATTTACTTTAATGAAACAATTTTATAAAAAATTTCCCATAGTCGATATTATTAATCGATTTGTTTTAAAAATCTCATTTCATCCGAATAACACGGACATTTCACGATCAAGAAATTGCTTTGAATTTACGATACACAATAATAATGACACAAATGCATCCATGATGGTTTAAAATTATATTGTGCTGGTTTCTGACAACAAAACGATGAAAATGCTTTCCGGACACCCGAAGCGGATACAATTTCTTTTTTGAACGTCAAGTCAATTATATCTGAGTTCGTGTAACCTACCACATTTTTTATCGGTTACAATTCTGATTCCAAAAAAAATCAGGTTCTAAAATACCTCTATTAATCTATTTCGGGCAAAAAATTTTAAATTTTAAGTGGTTTCCTTGACGATTGCACCCTGAACCTATTATGTATTATCTTATTGATTTCAACCTACGTCATAGCTGACAATTTAAATCAACACTGACAAGTATATTGCTTGATCAACATGAAGGAAACTTCTTGTTCGTGTAACTTCCTCTGCGAGTAGTAGGCACCGTGCTGTAGGGGATTAAGTCGCAAGGCATACTCGGCACCCCCCAATCGGTATGAGAGGTGTTGGTTGCCACAGACCAGATGTCGGGCGCCGCAAGCGTTCGGCTACCTAGAGCTACCTCCTCATAATCCGGGGTGTTATGCGACTCCCGTGCTCATTGGATGATTTGCAGCCAGGAGGTAAATTCGGCTGTGTTTTAACTGACCCTTCCCGACACCGTGACACATTGGGAAGTAACGGTGGCCTTACTGCGTCATGGGGCTCTGGCCTTTGAGGTCCCCTTAACATACATAGATCCGACCGTTCACCTCGTTGTACAGAGAGTCGCAAGAAACAGGTGGACAACAACGACACTAAAACTAAAAATACAACCAGACAAAGGCAAGTTTAGTTTCCTGGATGCCTTATCGCCTGGAGGATGATGACATGCCCTCATGTAGCGGTGCTCAGCAGGCGACATCCACTGCACCCGCAAAAACGCAGCGAATACCTCCGAAACTCCCAAAACCAGGATCACCTGCTCGGACTCATTGGAGTCGCAACGTACTTGCGCAGCAGGAGGCGCTGGCAAAAGAAAGAGGAGGTACAGGGGAAGACTGGAAGGGTGAAATTGGCGCCTTCAACAGCCAAACGTAAAAGCAGCCAGATCACGCGACACGAGAAACCAAACTCCAAGAGGCAAGGAGGTAGCTATGCCCAGGTAGCATTCGTCACATAAAAGCCTGTATTTCGTATTATGACGTACGTGATCGTAACGCTTCTATCGTAATCTGGTATGATGACATACTTGAACAGTATATAAACGTATCCGTTCTTTCGAATCGTCATTCGAACGCAAACTACTAAACTAGACAAATTTATGGAAATGTGAGAAAATTTTTTAAAATTTTATTTTTTTTATAATTTTTAGTAATAAAGAACATAAACAAGAAACCAATGAATGGAATATCTCATTAAAAATTAAATAAAATTAAAATTATTTATATGAACAAAATTTTTGTATTTTAGTTGATATTAAAAATAAAATTATTTGCAAAGTTAAGGACATTTACGCTTTTGAATTAAATTTATTAAAAAATACTTTATTTGGTCTGTTATCGTTTGGTCGATTGCGGTGAGGCGGTTCGCTACCTCGGTGTCCATTTCTTCTGTCTGATAAAAAACGCAATTTTGAGAGTTGTAACTTATTGTAAATTTTATGCAGATGTTATGTAATGACTCACAAGACAAAGCAAATCTTCCACTTTTGTTAGGTGATACCTCCCTCTCTTGCCATATCCTAAAATTCTGCACCGTCTTTTTAAGATTGTTCAACGATACATCTACAAAGTAAATTTTATTTATGAGGACTCATAATTTTTTTTATACCTACGCTATTTTCTACGATCTCTTAGCTATCTCCGCACTATTTTTTTATCCCCATCACTTTCTCTAGAGCTCAAATAAAAAAACCAAATTGGATTCATTTTGATATTTAATTAGATTTGTTAGTTTAATGAAAATTTCGCAATATTTTTCAGAAATCCACATCAATGGATCTTGAGATTCGCGCAAGGGATGAAAGTCATGCAAATCCCCCTAAAAACCTATTCCCAAAAACTCAAATTACACCACATACCGGGATACGTTAGAATTAAATCTGAAAGAGGAAGGGAAGCTAGTCAGAGGTACAATGGCCTTGGGACTGGAAAGCAGGCTATCTGCTCTGAACCAGGCCGTGACAAGCGCGTATCACCGCAGCTGCCCCCTAAAGTACGCAAACTTTTCAACAAAGCAAAGTGTACTGGGAACTTGGAGGAGTACAGAAGCAATTGCCTCTAATAAGGAGATTTGGTCTTAAAAGCAGGAGAATTTTAGAAATTTCTGTGAAAATGCCTCTTCTACACCAAAGACAGCAAGACTGCACAAAGCTCTGACTAGGGGGATTTTGCGATTAAAAAAAGTGACGTTACTTATACGACCAATGCGGAGGAGAGAGCTACGACACTCTTGCGAGCGCATTTCCCGGAGACAGTTGAGGAGGACTAAGGTCTACCTGTCGCAGAGCATAAGCCGTATCGCCTAGATTGAGTAGTCGCAAGGAAACTGTTCCCTGCGGACTCAGGCATGTGGGCTATGGCCTCGTTCGTCAATTTCAAGACCCCGGGAGCGGACGGCGTCTTACCAGCACTACTGCAACAAGGAGAGCAGGTTCTACTGCCATACCTTGTTCAGCTCAAGAGAGATAGCCGTGCGCTGGCGTATACCCCTGAACCATGGAGGCTAGCTAAGGTGATCTTTATACCGAAAGTAGGAAGGAAGGACTACTAACTGGCTAAATCCTTTAGACCGATTAGTCTAAATTCCTTCCTACCATAGAGTATGGAAAAGATCTTGGAAAACCAAATAAGGCCGAAGGCTCTGATAACGTCACCACTGCTCGCGAATCAGCAGGAAGATCGACCAACACTGCTTTGTACCAGCTAACCTCTGAGATACAGAGTTCGCTGGAAACAGGGGAGGTGACGCCTTCTTACACATCGAAGGTGCCTTTGACAACACGTCTCACAAGAGCGTGACAAGGGCTGGCAACAACTCCCAGGCATGCGCCATACAAAGTTGTTAATGAGTGGCTACAACCTCAAAAGGTTTAAATATGTACTCAAACTCCCAAGGGAAAAACTCAGGCTACTAGTCGCCTTCTACACTGGCTATTGCAAGCTCATAAGCATTTATTTAACATGGGCCTAGCTTCTGTGCAAATTGCAGGTTCTGCAACTTGGAGTTTGAAACTCCAGAACACCTTGACTGGGATCACATGGCCTCAATAGCACCTAGTAGTATATTGGAACTCATCAATTGGCTGGGACTAGTTGAGACGATGCGGGTTAGGAGAGGGCACATAGATCCTAGGTCGCGGTACAATCATTATTTAATTATCTTCTATCTATTCGTGGTGCAAATCAAGAGGTGCGCAGTTGTTTACCGTTTTGTAAAACCGTCGGGTAATACGACAAATCGTACGATGTTGCTATTGTTGCGATATGAATTATTGACTAAAGTACCTCACCTCTTCGGATTGGAGAAGCAAGACCAAGGATGTGCATTTCAACGCAGTCAAGCAAGTCATAACTTGCTTGCACCGGTAGAGGGGTTTAAAGACTTCAGGAGCTCCACCAATTTAGTCCTCTTATGCTGATTGACCAACACCTCTAGTACTGGGAATACTAAGAGATTTTTCGTTACTGATAACAGGATTAGGGATGCTGTATTTGTGCTGTAATCTTTCTTTTGTTTTTTATTAATTTTTACTTTTTATGAGTTAAAGCTTTTTATATACTACATAATATAAAATAAATATGTTAGTGAGTATTAAAATTACCAATATAAGTGTGAAATTCATTATAAATACAAAAAATACATAATCACAATAGTCGAATTTTTGAACTTAAATTGCAAGACTTCAAACTATAAGTTGTGTGCTAACACATGTTTTTACTAGTGAAATAGAATTTATCAGACAATTATTTATTTAAATATTATCTTTAATTAAAACCAAAAGTTTAATAATTACAACTAATATTATAGCTTATTAGATACAGATATAATTGATTAGAATTCTATCCATACATATGGCTTCAGCGCGACTATCAAAATGTTCTATAGTAACGTTAATGGTCAACACCGTACTAATATATATATGACTAGAGACATATGTACATACATATCCTATCCTATACACTGATAGGATTAAAAATTGTTATGTGTTAAAGATATATCAAATACAATGGGTGGATTATTAGGCTTATAATTAATATCACAAGTTGACGCGTTCACATAAATAATATTTCCGTCTGATGTAATACCATAACCCTCATGGATATGACCAAATACATGATATTTGGGCTTAACTCGTTTCTGTACCGTAGTTAGCAAATCTACACAACCAGCACGTACCCCAGAGCAGCATAAATCTCCGTGGCCCACGGGTGGAGTATGTGTTACCAATATATCCACATTATTTGGTATGCGGTTCCAAGCATTAATACATGCTTCTCCACGGGGTAAATTGAACGCCCAATTACAAAATTCTGGCTGCCAGGGAGTACCATATATACGTATACCCAGTACATCAATTAATTGGTCTTCTATATAGGTACAATTTACTAAAACATCTCGAATATTTTCAGTTTGTATAGCACTTTCAATGTCTTCTCTGGGATTACCCAGCATCGGCATACTATCAAGGCTGAAGCGGCCAGTGTGTTTAGTGCTGTACACGAGAGCAATAAATTATAATAACTCTTAAAGCTTTCATTCGTTTTAGACATACCGATTAGCAGGACATTTATTCGAAAAACCTTCTGCAAAGGTTGTATCAAAACTTAGCTCGTGATTTCCCGCTATTACTATCTTATGCTTATGAGGAAGAGTAGCAATCCATTTATCAAAATCAATTACTTCGTCTAATTTACCACATTTCGTAAAATCGCCAGCATGAATAAAGATGTCACCGTCCGGTATATCAAATTTTAAGTAAGGTGTTAACGAATGGGTATCGCTCATACAAACAACACGAATTTTATTAGGATCTTTCTGTTTGACCGTCTTACTCATAGACACTTTTATCACACGCTGGGTTTTGGAAATCTCGTTCCAAGCAGCTGTTGGATTATTGGTTAATGGGTGTACAGATATTGAATTTTCCAAATCCATGTATCACCGGTATTATTTACGTATAGGACAAATTAAATAAGTACAAAATATGGGAGATATTATTGTAAACATCGATAATAAACATAAGACGGCTGTTACACTTTACAGATAGCAATATACAACGTTTAGTATGCTATATAGTTGGATCGATATACACATCACACAGTTTTTTGATAAGTGATAAACGATAATAAAGACGATGCCTATCTCATCTCACATTGAAAATAACGGAGCAATTGCCAAACGTCAAAACCTATTGAGATTTGACAGTTGTCAGAGCTCAGAAGGTTAACCCTTTCCTTCTTAACGGGGACCGATAACCGTTAAAATAACAATAACAACTGTATTGTCTTAAAATTAGGTGATGTAGACGACAACTTAGATAATCAATTAGAACAACAACAACAAGAGTGTCTTCACTAAATTAAATACGTTAAATACCAGCAAAAGGACTAAAAATTCTATAATCTATTGAATTCCAGGTTTAATGAATACCACCACTATAAGAATTAAACTGACTAAATAAAATTGTGAAACATTGAGGGCCATCAGTAATGGTATGACGGTACTTCACGTCATTCGTAGTGGTACCACTTGTACAAGTACAGACAAAATTACTAGCAGTATTTACAGAGATATTTTAGTAGAACAATTAAATGGAAATTATGGTAATTTTTTACCATTAGCTTAGAATTTTCAGAATAATAATGACACAAACCTCAATGAATTGATGCCAAAATATGTGTATTTGATATAACATACTGGATTTAATTTTTAATTTCATCCAAAAATTTCAAGAATTTTAAGAAATTTAAATTATTTTTGACAAGTATGGTGGTTCATTTGATCAACTTGAAATGATGTTAGTAATCATGTAACAGCAGCGTTATGCTAGAACACCTGTCTGACGACATTTCGAACATAACTCAGTCAGGAGAGCAACTCGCACAGAAATACTCCAATTGGCAATAAATTTGAAAATTGGTTTGTTGGGTTATTCTCTGAGGAAATGAGGGTTATCGGTAATATTATTATCGATTCAAATGTATTATATATAAATCATACGATGTTTTCAAACCTAATTGGATAGATTTAAAATGGATGAAAATAACTCGTCAAATTCTGTTGACATGGAATTTTCATATGGAACAGGTTTTGATTCATTGGATATTTTTAAGGAAGAAGATACTTTGAACATTATAAAGGATATGGTGCCTCTGGGTAAGCAATCAAGCATTTCAATGTTTACATTAACTTACATGTACACATTCATATATCAAATAGAAATGCAGAACTTTTTCGAGGATATTGATCAAATGGAATTCTCTGATGAAGCCCTGTCAAATAATTTGTTACACGATTGTAATGTGGACACATTAAATTTCATTGAACCTAATTTATTACTGCAACCGAAAGTGTCTAGTCCAGATTTAGTTAATAATACTGGAAAAAGTTGTACCAACAGTTACAGCTCTTCAGATCCTTTGATGGCTGGCCATTTAAATCATGTCGCTGCTTTACCTTCTCCAAGTCATGCAGTTGAGTTCAATTCGTCGTCTAATAGCTTGCCTTTGGATCAAAAATGGATAATGAGAAATGAACAAAATCCAGTGCGAAGTAATCAAGTTGTCGATAAGCCGAAAGAGTTTTGCAATGTTAATCCTGTAAAAGAAGATAAACCCGATTATTCTAAAAATGACTGTTACAAATCCAATGTCTTGGAAAGTGTTCAGAACCATATACAATCTGTTGAATTCAGAAGTGATGTGTTGAAAAAAGGCATTTATGACAATGAAAAGGTATGTAAAAATTTACTCCAAAAAAGTCAAATAATACAAAGTTGAGAGTATACTTTAGTTTGTGTAGTATTAGCTCATGATTTAATTATATAAGGTTGTGTGGCTACGCTGCTACCTGCAGGAAAACCTTTATATTATCTTTCTGCTAATGTTCTCTTCTGCTACATGATTCAATTTTAGAAGGCGATGTCGATATGAAGCGTGCTTCCTCTTACGAATGAATTGTTTGTTTTCACAATTTCAAAATAATTTGGTTTTTGGTTTTCTCGTGAATTTTCTGTATATATTTTGATGACTGTCTTATTTAAAATCTATTCGCATTCAGTAAACGCTAACCGAGATGTGTCTCGAATCACCTCGTGATCAGCTTTATTCCGACTAGCCCATTTTTGAGTGCGCAAACCGAATCGATAATATTTTGTTTCTGTAGATTGATACCTAATTTGTATGTTCGTTTGAAGTTTGATCTCCATGTGTCAATTAGTGTGTTTGTCAGCAGTTTTTACGATGCAAAAAAATTATCTGGAGATTTTTACCATGGATAAAATTTTAAGAGCCAGTTTACTTGAAATTGTGTGTTTCCAATGGAATCACGGCTACGCAATCGTTGAAAAACCTGATGCACTGTTTTGGATAGTCTACTTTATCACGAACACAAATATCATATTTGAATTCAAGAAGGTCGTGAAGTCAGCGAGAATTCACCACTTCTGTTAGTGATGATAATATCAAATAATTGGCCTCAGAGACGCAACTATTTTGATTAATGCTTTGAGTATGAATCGTGTAAATGCTAGACCCTTGTGCTAATGTGCTGTCGACCGACTCGCGTGTTTGGTTAAGCTTTCGTCGTCGTAAACAAACAGTTCAGTTACAAACACATACTGATCTTCATGTGGAAATCAAATTTCAAATGCACAAAATAAGTTTGTATCAATCTAGGAAAAAAGTTTATATCGATTCGGTTAGCGAGTTTATATCGAAATTATCACGCATAACCAATGCAGTATGAGATGGTGCATTATCGCACTTCTTCGTTCAATAAATTCGGACATAGTAATGAATATTTTTATGTGAAATTTAGCGTAGATGTCACTAACAGCACTACCAACTTACAGAAAAAAAAATTTACTGCAGTTTAATTTTTATCTTAGAATTTTTGACCCATCGCCTTTTTGTGATTTACAGTGTCATAGGCCATGAACAATCTGGACTTTTATGATCCTTAGTGTTGAGGTGGCTCTGTACTCTTTCCGGAAATCATGTTGAAGGGCTACTAGACTCTTACTTCCTTAAATATTTTTTGTACACGTATATTTGAAATATTCTTTACTTCGTTTCTTAGGTTTTTCGTAAGAAATATGTTTAACAAATTTAATACCTGCAGATGTATTCAGATAATAAATGCTTAAAGGAAATTAAATTGCATTCAATTTGCTAGTAAATAATAGCAGAGTAACTTTTTTATTTTCCAAAATATATCGAATAAATTCAGATCGGACCACTATACTATAAAGCTGTCATTTAAACTAACCGTATAAAATCCAAATAAAGATCTTCATTAACTATATTTTCTCTTTATTGCATGACCTTAATTCGACTTGCATATAACGAAACTGGGAATTCCAAGCAAAACGTTTTATATTGGTTGTGAAGGTCATTACAGTTTCGGTGCAGCCGAAGTTCCCGTTTCCTCTTGTTAAAAATAAAAGTTTGTCAACGCCTGAAAAATGTTTCCTCACTTTGGATTGTTGCAAATGTAGTAAATAGATAGATAGACGTGAGATGATGTACACAGCGACCATTGGTCTATTGTGCCCTCTAATCCTTTTAATATTACTTAATTTAGTCCCAAAGCTCTTGTAAGATCTTTAGTGCTCGAAGGGTTAATGGTTTTCACATCATTTTGCTACGGCTGCATAAGTGTTAAATGAGTGAGCCTTCTTCTAGTCGAACCGCAATGCATAATATGTGCGCCGGCGTCTCGGGCTTTAGCTTACGAACACACACGTTTCTTCAGAGCTCAATCCTATCCTCTGCAGACATTTGCGCAGTCTGCAGTGTGCGTTAAAAAATCTTGTTAGTATTCTTAAATTATTCTTGCTAAACAAGATGATATCTTTGAGTGTCTAATTTCGTAATATCCGGGTCTATTCCTTCTGTTTTTTTTGTATGTATCACATCTTTGAGTGTGGCTTTGTTTCTTCATTTATCTTCGATTGATCCAACGATATCTTTTCTCACCGAACTATGCTGAATTTGATATTAAAACTTATCGTCTTCTGAATTTCGTCTCTGCTGTATGTCGGGAGTATAAAATGTTCTTCTGCACCCGAACTTACACCTAGATATAGTATTATATATGTATAAATCACGGTGACGAGAAAAGTTGAAATCCGGTCGACTGTCTGTCCGTGCAAACTGAGATATCTTGATGAAACTTTAGTACAAAAAAATTCGAGTTCGTAGATGGGCGTAATTGGACAACTGCTACGCCCACGAATCTAAGCACTTGATTAAGATATAAAACTATAATTTGGCACAGGGGATCACAGTAGCAAGGGGGATAAAAATTTTTGGAAAGTGGGCGTGGCCCCGCCCATTAATATATTTAATGTGCATATCTCCTAAACCACTAAAGCTACAACAAAATTCGGCAAGCACGAATAGTGTGCAAATTAATGAAATCGGATAAAAACCCCGCTTACTCCCCATATACAAATTTTCCTATAGGTTAGTATGGCAAGGATTTTTAGGGGCCGGTGTAAAAATTAGACAATGGGCGTGGCAATTCTCACTTTTTGGTGAAATCCCTTATCTCGGAACCCAACTGACCGATTTCGACAAAATGTGGAACGTGGCATTCTTTTCATATTCCTATTCACTCTCTTAAAATGAGTGAATTCCACTTGATTCTTTTTTTTCCAGTCCACAAATCACGAAGCAATTAATGTTACTAGATTAAACTTTCAATGAATAATGCCTTTAGTGTATGCCACCTCATGATCAAAAATTGTTCAAATCCAACTAAAACTGTTCAAGACTCTAGGCACCGAATATGTGGACCCCAGTACCTATAGTTGACTTTTGATATAAAATGTTGCTTAATGTGTGATATACATATGTATATAACTGGAATTCCTTCTCTTATAATGATATGTGTGCATTTCAAAAATGGGTTGAATCGGACCAAAACTTCCCTTAGCCCCCATATAATCGACTGGCCGGTAAGTCCTGGGGCTGCAAGTCAAGGATCGTTAGGTGGTTGTACACCATGATAGTGCTACCAATAATCACGTATGGGACGGTGGCCTGGGCCTCAATAGCTTCTTAGACTTCGGTAAAGACTAAACTATGGAAGCTGCAGCGGCTGGCCTGTATCTGCATGACGGGCGCAATGCCCACTTGTCCTACGGCGGCATTTTAGGTTCTGCTACAATAGAACTTATTCCGCTTCATGTGGTTATAAGTCAGGTAGCCAAGCACACTCTTCTGCAAATAACGGCAGAGGGGTGTGGCAAAGGCAAGGTAGTCTCGTCCCAGAGGATGGAAAAGATAAGAGGCAATACACCAATAGCCCTCCTCCCGAAGGACAGCACTACTAAAATAGTTAACTTCGAGAAAAAGTTTAAGGTCACCCTCGGCAACAAGTACGAGTGGAACGACTCCGATCTCGAGCTGATGTTGAGGAATAGCACGTTGAGGTACACGTACATCGATGACTCGAAAATGTCGGAAGGAATCGATGCAGGGATCGTGGACCCATGCACTAAGCTCTCCATACCCATGTAGAGTTCCCGAGCATCTTCCCTGCAGAATTTTTTGCTACAAGTCGGTGTATAGAAATAAACCTTCATCGCAATAAGCGAATAGCTATTCTCAGCGATAATCAAGCATTAAAAGCGATCTCCTCCTGCGAGATCAAATCGCTACTAGTGCAGGAGGGCAGAGAAAGGCTAAGCAGCCTTGCGGAACGAAACCAGGTACACCTAATCTGGGTGCCTGGTCACAAAGGTATAGCCGGTAACGAACTGGCGGATGGGCTCGCCAGATCAGTAGCCTCCACCAAGATGGTAGGATCCGAACCCTTTACTGGGGTAGGTACCCATACCATAAAGGAGCTACTCCGCAAGGAAGAAGGAGTGGACGGGAAAGAGTATTGGCAACAAACGCACGGTATTCGACATGTCGAGTTGCTAATTGGAGGATACAACTTAAGTAGGTTCAAAGTTGTAATTAACCTTCCCCGGAAAAAACTCAGGCTACTGGACGCATGGTTCACTGGCCATTGCAAGCTGAACAGGCATATGTATAACCTAGGCCTATCCTCTTGCGCTATCTGCCGGTTCTGCGACAGGGAGCCTGAACCCCGGAGCATATGCTGAGCGACTGCACAGCAGTCTGTAGACGCAAGATTAAGGCCCTTGGAAACATATTTCCAGATAGGGATCGCCTCACTAGCAACGGGGTATGATTAGTTTTACACTTTAAAGTATTTCCCTGGTTTTGGTTCTTGCAAGTTGCAAGACTATAAAATGTTCGGTTGCACCCGAACTTAGCACTTTCTTACTTGTTTAAATTCAACTTTATTGTATTCTTTCAGGTAAGCCAAGCAAATATAACTATCCAAGATTTGAAGGACATACAATCAGCTCAACATGTTTTGATACAAAGAAATCCAACGATTATGTATGCCACTCCACCTACTTCTTCTGCGTCCTTTGCTGCTGGTCCTCCAATTATATCACAAATACCTGTCATATTTGAACCAACTGTAAACGTTTCTTGCACTCTACCCAAAGTGGGAAACATCTCATCGGTAGAGAATAAAGTGCCAATTAATCGAATTCAACCAAAAAAAAAAGAAGTCAAAAGGTCGGCTCATAATGCTATAGAGCGGCGTTATCGTACTTCAATAAATGACAAAATTTCGGAACTAAAAAATCTTATAATAGGGGAATCTGCAAAACTCAACAAATCGGCAGTTTTGCGCAAGTCAATTGATAAAATACGCGATCTTCAAAAGCAAAATTCTGAGATGCGTGATGAGATACAGAGACTTCAAAATGAGCTTGTAAACCGAAGCAGTTGCAATGTTAAAAATCTACTCAACTCAACAAAGATCAATAAAGTTGATAATAGGAATAAGCCATTAATAACGAATGAGTTCTCACAAAAACAAAGAATTATTACGCCACCATGTAGTGACGAGTCAAATGCCTCACAATCTCCAACACACTCTGATATTTCTTTACCGTGTTCCCCAGTTAACGGGTCTGTTAAAAGCTTTAATTCATATAAAATGAAAAATGTGTCAACTGCTATTCGTGATATGTCACATTCACGATTAACGTTATGCATATTTATGTTGGCTTTTATCACAATAAACCCATTTAAGATATTTCTATACAGACCTACTGATACTATGAGCACTCTCGGAAATTATGGAAGTATTGATGATACTCATCACCGCCGTATTTTAAACTTCAACGATGATAGTAAGTATATAACATTTCATTATTAGATAGATGAATTAGTTTTTTTGATTTTTTTTACTTTTTCGGAGGGTGACTAAGTTAAGAACTAGAGTTCTAAAAATTGAATCATCTTTTAAATTTTTGACATTAAGAATATAATAGAGTTTTGAAAATCTTATCACACTCACCGTTTCACAAAGTCTTTACATTTTATTCATTACTTTGTTTTATGAGTTTGTTCATATTATCAATTCCGTCCGTTAGTAAAATAAGTATTCGCGTCCGATCATGAGAGTGTCCAGAAGTTAGAGTGGTATTTGATCTTGAAACCTAATATAAAACTTGGTTACTGAATTTTTGGGATTTGTATATTGGATGTGTGCGCAAGTAGAAGTTTCCCTGCATACTTTATAAGGTATACAATGTAGAAATAAATGGTCAGAAAATAACCATCGTGGACTTCGATCCCAATCCAAATTCAACATTTTTGAATTTTTTCTTAGCAAACAGCGTCTTTGCTCTGGTCAGTTCAGAACATCAATAATTTCTGCGGTAGGCGAATTTTTCCCATTTTTAACTCTGTGCTTTGGATCATTGTTCTGCATAAAATACCAATTCACAGGCATCGATTCGAACGCGAATAGTTAGAAAAATTAAAAGTCCTTTTTCGTTCAACAACTAAGCATCATCGAGACGCCTTCGTGTAAGTCTACTGGAGACGCTAAACTAAATTTCTCATTTATTTATTTATAATCTCTCAGGAAGATTTAAAATGAAAGAAAGACTTGGAACATAAAAGGCAATGCATGGCACCAAAGGCATTTAGAATCATAAAATATTTCTCGCAGGGCATATTTGGTTTTGCGCTATAGTCTTGCGTGATGTTAATTCGTTGCTGGCTCGACAACGACTTAACGATAGAGCGTAAGCATACGTGTGAAGTTAGTTTGCAAAATTTTGCTATGAAATACCGACCACTGGTCTATTAGCATCTTCCTCCATGGCTTACTGTTTTTCTTTTCACCGAATTAGGTTCATTTTTAAGAATGTTTTTGGTGTTATTCATAATTTCTCCTTTTTACAAAGTACAATTCAAGTTTCTACCCATTTGTTTAATATTTTAATTTTATTTAACAGCTACAGTTAAACAATGTATTTTTTCCACCACTGCCATTTAGTAACGAATATTTGGACAAATAACCTATTTTTTCAATAATTACTTGTATTATCTTGTAGATTTTATTATTTACTACGATACATTTATGTATTTCTTATTTATTTACACAGATACAAATAATGATTTTATTTGGAAAATCTTTTGGGGCCCTTTATTCTTGTGGTTTGTTAACTTGATGGTCATGTTGGTCTGCTTCGTAAAACTGATTGGTTTTGTAAATCCATTAGGAAATACAACTGCTGTCGAATTCAAAACACGAAAGGAGTGTGGAGATAAACTTTTCGAAAAGGTATAATATGAAAATAAAAAATTTGTATACAATCTGATCAAATTTGACCCGGGCGAGACACTATTTTTTCACGTATTTTAATACAAATCTTTATTATTGGCTTCAAAGTAGGGTCTTCAGCAGTACAAGTATGCCAATTATTAATAAAATTTTCCGTATACTTGTTATAATATTTGGCTGGGATAACTTTCAGTGCCTTCAGCAAATTTTTGTTTTTTTCTTAAAGCATTTTTCGATGTTCTATCATTAAAAGAGATGAGACGAATCTTCGATAACATCACGACCTTAACTAGACGCTTAATGTCACTCAAATACTTGTGCGTTTGTAGATTCCTCAAAACAAAATTTCAATCAAACCTCTTATTTAATTTTAATTGCAATTAATTTTAATATTCACATACGTACGTACTAATTGACATATGGAACATGCGAACGAACATGCAAAATATGTACCAATTTAGGAAAAAATTATCAAATATTTTCGCGCATAGATTAAATACACCAGTCCGAGTCAAATTTGATCATATGATAATAACATTTCTCTCAATTAGGGCTATATGGAAGATGCTTACTTGGAGTATATATCTTGCTTGAAAAGCCTTGGAGTAACGTTGCCGACATCCACTTTTGACTTTATTATATTGACAACCTGGCAATTTATTCGTATATTTATTGGTCATCTAAAGATTAACTGCAAATATACAAAATCTGTCTCAAGATTACGCAACGATGAGGACAGTCATTCAAATACTAGAACAGCGAGGAATTTGGCCATTTTCTTCAACAGGCTGAATCAGTTGCATTTAACAACTGAAAACAACCCCAAGCATAGCCTGACATTATCATTATATGCATTAGATATGGCCCAATTATCTCAAGACACCCTCACAAATGAAGAATTGGTCGATATTTACTTAATAACGACTTTAATGGTAAAACAAAACTATCCTAGATCATTGAAGTTATTTGTACGATATTGCATTAAAAAGGGGAAACAAGAGTGGTTTAAGTCTGCAGGAAAGTCGAGTCAATATAAGTGGATATTTACTCCATTCGGAACACAATTTTTAATTGATCATGAATTTGATTTAAACAACAATTTACAATCAAATAATATGTTTATACAATTGTCGAACAGTGCGAATCCTCTAACATACTTATTAAAGGTATAACATTAAGATTGTTTGACTTTTCCACTTCTGGTTGATATACCTTTTTCTACTATTTATAGAATTATCAAGAATATTTGCTTCATCAAGCTATTCAATGTCTGGTTGGATCCATCCAAATTTCTGATAAAAAAAGAACAAATCTTAAGGCATATGATATAGGAGATAACACTGTGGCTAGTAATGCACTGACTTTTGTTTCTTTGCTGCGTGATTCCATTTCTGCTGATTGCAGCAATGAAAAAATTGAGTGGTGGGTTAACATTCTTGAAGTTTCTGTTTATTGGTTATTAGGTGAAGATGAAAAAGCCGAAAAATCATATCAACGTGCCAGACTTTTACCGAAGGAACTTGAGACAAGCAACGACAAACTGCCACAAGCTTTACACTTGGCATTGGAAGCAAAATTTTTATCACTACAGTAAGTAAAAACAAGAATACTGAATGAATACTTCCTATAAGCAAAAGTGTTATCAAATTTATATCATTATATTTAAATTCATGAGGCAAGTACAGACGATAAGTCTAAATAAACATAAAAGTCGTAATAAAGAGCTGTTATGGGGCACACTTACTAAAATAGCGATAAAATTAAATTTATATAACATATGCCAAGAAATTCCGTGAATACAAAAAACTAATTAACAATAATTCGTTGACTATTTATTATCAAAATGTTAGAGGTCTTAATACAAAACTTACTGATTTGTATTTAAACAGCATTCATTGTAACTTTAAAATCATTGCTTTCACAGAGACTTGGCTAAAGCCTCATATTTTTTATAATGAAATATTTAACAGCGAATTCGAAGTCTACAGATATGACCGTCTGAACAGAAAAGGGGGTAGTGTCTTGTTTGCTGTTCCTTCTTCAATTCCATCTGAAGAAGTCGATGTTCCGCATGCAGACTTCATAGAATTTAAGTGCATTCGTATTTGCGCTAATAGTGGCCATATCTACTTAACTTTATGTTGTTGTTGTTGTTGTTGTTGTTGTAACGGCAGAATTCTGCCGAGTTGACAGTCCTTGGCCGGATAAAAATCCGGGTCCGTTCCGGTTCCGTTCCCACGACTTTATCTTATATACCGCCTCACTCGGATATATCTGTTTATATGCAGCATGATGGATTTCAATTTACCTTGCGTATCATGGAAATCTATTGATGATCAGACCATTCCTATTAGTATTATTAGCTTATGTTTTAACGAGTTCTTAGATGAATTGTTGAGGTTGTGTCTTATCCAAATTAATTTAATTTCGAACGAGTTTTGTTAGTTCTTAGATCTAGTTTATGTTGATAACACTTCAATGTTCTCCGTTGTTCGATGTGATCCTTTGTTTCATCGAGCGGACCCGTATCATCCTGCTTTGAAAATTAACATCGAAAATATAGCCAACTTTGCTCATAATAATACACAAGACCTTTGTTTTCGGTTCAACTTTGCGAAAGCTAATTTTAGGAAGATTAATTATGAACTTTCTAAAGTAACTTGGCCTGATTACAATGGCAATATTGAATTTACTGCTTCCCACTTTAATGAAATTATTTTAAACTTATTTGAAAAATATGGTTCGAAGTGTGTTGTTACTCAAAAAAATGAGTTCTAATTTATGGTTTTCGAAAGAATTATGTAAATTAAAAAATAGAAAATCTCGTCCTTTTAAACTTTTTAAAAAAACTGGTTTAGTTGCTGACTATTCAAAATAATCTAAATTGCGTCGACAATTGCTGAATTTAACAAAATATGTTATAATAATTATATTATATAAATAAAATAAAAAATAATATAATATTATACGTAATCCAAAATTGTTCAATGGTTTCGTAAACTCCAAACGCAGGGTTTCTAATTTTCCGTCTGCTATGAAATATTGACAATCACACCATTTCTAATATGTTCGCTGAATTCTTCATGTTCAATTACTCTCCAAAAAATGTTCCGCATCAGCACAAGTTGTGTCCGATTTCTGTCGTTAATGTACCTACTATTTCCGAAGCAGATGTCTTATATCAGTTAAATATGTTAGAACAATCATACAATTATGGCCCAGATATGATTTCCTCATGCTTTCTTAAGAAATGTGCCAAATATATATACCAAAGCCCTAACAAAATTATTTAATTCATCTCTTATGCAAGGNTCGTTATAACTTAAGAACTAGTAAGAATATAATAATAAAAGGAATGAAGGATTAAAAACATATGATAGCGTTGCCTTTAGGAGTTAGGTAGAGTTATATTTTAGGAGCGCTGCGCCGAAGATTTAACGCCGTAATGATCATTCGAGGTTGCCACATATATATACCAAGCCCTAACAAAACTAATTAATTCATCTCTTATACAAGGCTTATTTCCATCCATATGGAAAAAGTCATTTATAATTCCTTTACATAAGAGTGGATTTGGGTCATCAATTGAGAACTATAGGGGAATAGCAAAGTTGTCTGCAATACCTAAACTTTTTGAAGCAATTAAAACAGACAACATAGCCTTCCGGATCTCTCCACTAATTTGCATGATTCTCGTAAAGGGAAATCTACAATAACTAATTTGCTTGAATTTGTATCACATGTATCAACGGGCTTTAGGGAGAATAAGAACACTGATGTTATATACACAGATTTTAGTAAAGCTTTTGATAAAGTATCCCATTCAATTCTTTTGAATAAACTTGATCTTCTTGATTTTCAACCAATATTGCTTCTTATCTTAGTAAAAGGATTCAACAAATCATATCTAACGATACTTTTTCTGACATAGTGAATGTTCCTTCAGGCGTTCCTCAAGGTAGTCTTCTTGGCCCAATTCTGTTCTTGTTATTTATTAATGACATATCATCTGTTGTTAAGTTTCCAAAAGTTTTATTATATGCTGACTATGTAAACGTATACTTATTTCATACAGCGAAAGATGTCAGTTGCAAACAGACTTAAACAACCTAGTTTCTAGGTGTGWTAGAAATGACATGCCATTGAATCTTGAAAAATGTAAAAGGATGTGTTTTTCACGTAGACCCTACTTTATACGCAGTATAAAACTTTAGGTTGGAGCAAGAATGCAGTTTTGTTGATCTAGTAGTAACGCCAAACTCAACTTTAATCTTCACGCATCTTGCACGGCTTTTAAAGTTAAAGGCGCTCTTAGTTTTGTTAATCGTTGGTCTAAAGAATTTAGAGATCCACTTACCACGAAAATTCTTTTTACATCTCTGGTGAGCCCTATATTAGAGTATGCATCTGTGGTTTGGAATCCTAGTTACCAAGTCCATTCGGATAAGTTAGAGTCCGTACAAAAACAATTTTTACTTTTTGCTTTAAATCATTTGCATTGGGATCGCAGTTTAAATCTTCCCTCTTACACTTATCGTTTAAAACTTATAAATCTCTCGACACTCGCTAGTCGTAGGGTGCTTGGTATAATATTTCTTGTATTTAGCAAATCTCTTTTATCTGATATTAATTTTAAAGTTCCCGCTCGCTGTACCACGTAGTTTAGAACCTTACTTTTAAAACTTTCTAGAACAAATTTTGAGCTAAACGAACCATTCCATTCATTATGTCATGATTTCAATTCTCATTCCAGCTCATTTGATCTAACAGACTCACTCTACTCTTAACAAGTAACAGTTAAAAATAAACTTTAAACTATAAACTTTAATTCTTAATTTTGGCTGTTGAAATTTTTGTTTCTGTGGCTGAGCAGTTTAAGATCGCAACGCTTAAAATTCTCTTACCTTTTATGACTCGGCTATTTCCGCTCGTTCGCGGATTGCGCCATTCGCGTCGGTTGGGCGGGAGGAGGGTAATCGTTGGTTACTATTATTATTATAATCGCTTTCTCAAAATTACGTTTATCGAACTGTCTGCGGTTGTAACTTAAAGATAAATGGTCCGGTCGCCTGGATTTTTTCTATTTATTTTGTATGTATAGTATATGTTTCTCTACACAACGATTGACCGCTTCGAAATTTTTTCGAAGCCGCCGGTTTATTTATTTAAATTTTGAAACGATTTATATGTACAGTAGTTTTCTTAAATACAAATCCAACATTCAAAATTCTTTAGGAAATCTCCACAGCTAAGTCTCTAAATATATCATMATCGGCAGACGCTAGCTTAATTTGCAAGATCGCAATTAAAAAATTTTTTGGCATATACTATATATATAACTGATTGATAAAAAGGCGGTTAATTAATATTTTAAAATTTAAGTTAATTTTAAAATTTGAGTTAATTTTAAAAGTAAAGAGAATCGGCATAAATGGCCGACGTCTATTAGTCGGCCAGCGTTATGCTGTGCTTAAATTGTGGTGTTGTTTACAAAAAGATTCCTTATTTTGCAGGTATAGTGGAGGCTTCTACAAGCGTGGTTCTCAAAGTATAATAGATATCTGCAATCGATCCAGTAACTGTCTTCAAGAATCTTTAACATTTAATAAAATTACAAGTGTGAAAAAAATTAAATTGGTAAGTTTTAATATCATATATCTTGCTAAAAATAAATAATTTAATACTTACCTAAGAACTACCGCTTCTAAGATTTAATATGAACACGATTCCACGTTAGCTATAGTGGTATAGGTAGTGAACTTCGTACGTTTTTCACTATCTTTTGAATTTTTATATCTCAGAAACTGTTATTCTTAGGCAAAACCTAATTTTTTACAGTTAATTTTACGATCTACAATTTTCGTATTTTCTAGTATGTTACTTTTAATCACGTTTTCAACATATTCATTAACTTCTAGCTAGTTGTAAATTTAAACAACTTCACCTTCATTTTCTGTTTTACCGGACTGTTATGAACTCAAATCAGACAGTATATATATGTATTTAAAAAAAAAATTAAAACAAGCTTGTGATAACGTTCTTTATATCAAATTAGAATTCTCATATGATATTCCGTATCGAACAAACTACACTAGCTATTTGATGCCACTGACAGCGCCAATGGAACCATGCGTATGTGTATACTCCCAACCCATGTCAAAATGTGTTTCACTTCTGGGAAGTTTAATATTTTCTAAAAACAACTAAAAACCAGCGATTTTTAAGGCGAAGTTTTGTAAGGGATCATAAAAACTTGTTTGCCAGTTTTTGAGATAATAAATGAATGAAATTTAATATTTAGGTGCATCTTTTATATTTTATTTATCATCTTTCGGAATCGGTTTTCGGGCTACTATATCACACATGGGAGATAAAACAATCAAAAACTCAGACTTGAAAAATTAGTCTCTTAGGCAAAGTTGTTCAGAATAATAAGTAGATCATTTTCCGCATACGCGCTTTTATAGAATAAATCAGCTCGCTTTACTATGGATTCTGTGATTTTTTGTACAAAATTACAATTTTGTTTCTTATTTTGGATATTATTTATAGCACTTTATAGAATTTAAGTAACTCCATTTTATGGCCGCGGCAATAATGCGATTTCGAACATATGTAAATTACCAATTACCATGTACCAATTTTCAACGAGATATCACAATTTTTACTGAGAATATCGCTAAAGACGGAAGTAGAGACAGACAGTCCCTCGGAATTAAACTCGTGTCATTATGATCATTTGGAAATAACTCTAAAACTTTCTTTTATTTAGTTTTAGGTATTACAATACTATAAAATTACTCAACAAATCTGAAGGAAAATGTATGACTGATGTGTTAACAGGTGTGTGAGGTAATTGAGGTGATCTTATCACGAATTAGAATTCAGAAACTTTCCATTAGCTATTAGCTACTTTTGCCATTATAATAATTAGTGGTGTAGCATGCAAATTCTTATTATCATTTTCGGGTTTTAGCAACTTAAAATGACCGAAAAATGGCCTTTAAGATCACAGTCGTAAAATGACAGTAAAGTAGTGTAATTCAGTTTTTATACCCTGAACAGGGTATATTAAGTTTGTCACGAAGTTTGTAACACCCAGAAGGAAGGGTCGGAGACCCTATAAAGTATATATATAAATGATCAATATGTTGATCTGAGTCGATTTAGCCTAGTCCCTCAGTTTTTAAGATATCGTTTTGAAATTTTGCAAACGTCATTTTCTCTTCAAGAAGCTTCTCATTTGTCAGAACTGCCGATATCGGACCACTATATCATATAGCTGCCATACAAACTGAACGATCGGAATCAAGTTCTTGTATAGAAAACTTTCACAAAAGTTGACACAGGTTATTTTCTAAATCAACAATCTAATCTCCGAAGAAATTGTTCAGATCGGTTAACTATAGCTGCCGTACAAAGTGAATGATCGGAATCAAGTTCTTGTATGGAAAACTTCCTCATTTGACGATATATCTTCACGAAATTGGGTATGAGGTATTGTTTATAGAAATAATGTAATATCAGAAGAAATTGTTCAGATCGGCTCACTATAGCATATAGCTGCCATACAAACCGAACGATCGGAGTCAAGGGCTTATATGGAAAAGTTTCGCATTTGACGTCGTATCGTCACGAAATTTGCCATGGATTACAACTTAAGGTAACAATATAATCTCCAAAAAAAGTGTTCATAACGGATTACTATAGCATATAGCTTCCATACAAACTGAACACATAGTTATTAACAGAAATGCACCTGTGAGGGGTATTTAGCTTCGGTGGAACCGATTTTAACGTTTTTATCTTGTTTTTAATCAAGTTTACTTATCATAATGCTATAATATTTTGACCACAATTGATTAACTATATACCTTCATTTTTATTACAGTTATTTCAATTGCTAACTTGTGATTGGGTGCTTGAAACAAGAACCCAGCTTTGGGAGACGGAATACATGAACGCTGATCAAATTCTGTGCAAACAAGTTCCCAGCGATTATTTGGAGAAATTTCAAAAGGATCTTAACTCGATGCGTTATGTCATAGAAGATTTGCATGTAAGTTTTAATACTTAACTTCGTAGCAGTGTGGCCAAAAAGACACAGATTAATCCAATCATTACTGGTGATGGTTTGAATTGGTTAGGAGATTTATCCATGCGTAATCCATGGATTATATGAATATTTTTCGATTTTTGAGATATAAGTCACGAAATATCTCACTTAAAAATCTTAGATAAAAAGCAATTGGAGTGCCATAACTTTTTAATGCGGCTAATATCTCCAACCTACAGCATATATCTTTCAGGATCAATGTCGTAATCTGTATCCAACCAGCAGCATGCCACATTAACCATGCGCTGGCAAACTTATCAATCGCGCTTGTGGATAACGTTGATACATTCCGTCTAAGCTAAAACTAGTATTTCTGTGATCAGATAGGCGGCGGTCATTAAGAACCCAAAATTCTGTGATCACGTGTGGAGGGGTAAAGAACCTCCCTCCTATCTGGAAGCGGAAAGTTTCATCTAAATACTGGTTCTCCTTTGCTTGTAGTCGTTGTGCGGCACGTTAGCCAATCAACGCATTTGGATGACGGATCGATCGCCAATGGAAAATGAAAGGGAAAGTAATTTACGGGCGATATGCGGTCGGAAAGAGGAAGAGTAGGGGAGAGTTTGAATTTTTAAGAGTTAAAAAAGGTTCATCTCAGTTTCCGACAAAACTGAGTCATATGGAAAAGAGATTTTTTACCACATTAGCGTACAGTCAATTAATACCAGCTTACATTTATTTATTACACAGACTTAATGGTATAATATGATATTAATAAAACACAACAAATATATCGTATATATATTTATTTTTAGATTGGTCATCAACGAATTTACCTGTATGAAGCTGTATGCCGTCTTATGGCCGGAGTAGCACCTGGACCTACACAACAACTTTTGGATCGCAGTTTGAGGAATAGAACTCTTAGATCATCCGTTATATGTGGAGGAAAAGATAAAAGCAATAACTGTGTAGGATTTCAACGTGAAAGAGCGACAGCACTTTATATTGCATGTAAGTATTTACCAAATGCGTTAATTTGTTCGCCGGGAGAACGAGTTGGAATGTTAGCTGAAGCTGCCAAAACTCTGGAAAAGCTTGGCGACAAGCGAAAACTAAATGATTGTTATAAGTTAATTAAATTTTTTGATAATAGCATCGATGTAATCGATTAAATTAAAATAAGTTAAGTCGCAAATATATTAGTATTGCTGTTTTTGTAGATATAAAGGTCTAAATTCATCTATTTTATTTACTAATATTAGGTAAGTATAAGCAGACACTAGTAGCTTATATTTATTTAACATGAAACATTGAAAACCTTACTGAGATGAGCTATAACAAATGTTGATTTGAGCCATCAATAGGTTGCCAAATTTCAATTTTACAAGATTATCTTCTCAACCGGTTTTGTTAAAGGCGGAAGGTTGGATAAAACGATTTATTCTTGTTTTTTTTTTTTTTTTACAAGTCTCCTCGGAGACATTATTTCACATTTAAGAATGGGAGTGTGATGATGTAATATTATTCATATTCCATCGACGCTAAACCACATTGTGGTCAAAACTTATAAAATGTCATAAAGAATGACTAATATTCGTAGAAGCTTGTAAACCGCCAAAAAAGTGTATTTTTTAATATGTGTGGGGTGTTCTTCCTCGCCTGGAATAGGCCCCCTGAAGATGTAAGTAAACTCCATAAAAAAATGTGGAAAGTTAGTGAATGCGAAAGTAAAAAAGAAGTTTGCCTGGTACTCGATCCCGCAAAAGCCCCATGGACGTAATTACTATCAGAGGATTTTCTACCAAATAAAAAGTTTAAAATATTAGAAATTATTTTGACCTTTCAAAAATCTCAACTATATAGTCAAAATTCATTAAATTTGGGGCTTAGACCAATTACACACATATTCCCCGCAAAACCCCAATAAGTCAAAGAAAACGTCCATTTAATTTGAATTTTCTAACAATTAATGGCCATAAAAATTACACACTCATTAAAGGAACCACAGTCGTGGAAACTAACACAAGCATACAGTGAAGCTAACATGTCTTTTACGTAAGAACGAAGCATTTAATACGCTTCGGTTAAAATTGTCAATTCAATTGTACCTTAAGAAATTCATTTTAACCATTTTAACTTACATAAATCTATAGACGTGCTTTTGGGAACTAACCGTTGGTTCAACAGATAGGTGGATAAAATGTCATAGTCTCAACTTTCAACGCTAAATCCTCCTAAATTGGAAATTTTTGTCAACCAAAACTTGATCAATCTTCTAAAATTTTATTATTATTAAAAATTAAAAAAATATATATTTTAGATATTTTAACACAATCCACTATGTTGCACTGGTACGGATGTATGTCCGACATCGTTCTTTGAAGGCTTTCAATGACCTCTGATTTACAATGTCTTCCACGTTAACTTCAGATTGTAAAAGACGAAGCTGAAATTAAATGAAAAAATAATATATATATATAAAATAGGTTAAAACATATTCAATACAGTTCAAGCTTTAAACACTAAATACGGAAGTGTTAAAAAATAATGCATAAATAATACCACACTTACTCGATATACTAGTTTTTGCGTGCATATTAATGATCACTTTCTTATTGAGCATAACTGAGGAGTTAATTCACCTTTTCACTCTCAATGCGATTCGGTTATTCGTAAGAACCTTAGAACTTAATAATGACTATTGACATAAAATAGGCCTAGCCCTGATGTGAAGTTTGATTAAAAGCGCGAAAGCATTCTTGGTACGCAAATGCTAGCAATCGTCAGAAGGATGTATACTATGGTCGTGCAGTTAATTAGCAAGTGTTCTGGAGTTCTATGCAGCAGAACCGGCAATTTGCACCAAAAACTTGGTCCATATTATATAATATAACTGTTTCTTGAGCTTAGAATGTAAGTGTAGAATGCGACAAATAGCAGGAGTTTGACCCTGGGGAAGTTGATAACATATTTAATCCTGCTAAGGTTGTAACCACCCATTAGCAACTTGGCATGGCGCATACCTCAGAGTTGTTGCCGGAAGGCATTTCCCTGTTTGATCCTCCTTACGTAGCAGCTCCTATATGAAGAGTTTAAAGGATTGTGGTCCTACCATGTTGGAAGATGCTGCAGATTATGCTGGAAGTTACAATCTAACAAAGTTTAAATAATTATAATTCTTCTTAGAGGCAAATTGTAACCATTATTGGAATTTACCACTGGACATTGGAGGCTTTAGAAACATACTTTTAACATTAGTATAGCCTCTTGTGTAAACTGCCGGTTCTGTGACATGATGAGGGAAACAACAGACCGCACATAGTTTTTGATTGCGCAACAATTTGTAGAAACAAGGAAAGAGCTCCGGATTTATAGTTCAGGTGTTGAGAGAGTCATATTGAGAGTTGAGAGGTGTCATATTCTCCTTCCTTTAACACCTCACTATTAATTATTACTAACCTTACGCTGCTCCGATTTGAATTTCTTATCAATGTCGACATCATCGCGGTTATTTTCACGTAACTCACGCAATTTTTTTAACGATTCCGCAGATGAAAGTATACAATCATTAATTTTTTTCTCCCGCGACTTGTGGATCTGTTGAAGCTGGTTAAATAGGTTCGAACACACTTTTTCGGAATTAACCTGACCTTTAAAAGATTCAGTTGGCAGTGATGTGTTTAGCATATATATTATATTGTCGTCTAACGCCCGCATTTGTTTTATGCTTTCCTTTAAGTACATTTTATTAATGAAATAGGCATTATATATACTTGTAAATAAATTACCTGGAACTCCAAAAAGTCCTCGCACTGCCCTCCTGCTGACATTTTTAATCAAAATGAAACGATTCCCATTACGGGGCATCTCCGCTGATAAGAGTCGTTGACAAGATAACATTATTGCTCTCACTATAGCCAATGCAGGATATTTATTGCGTAAGCTTAATATAACGTGTTTGTATTCTGTAAAGTTTTCAGCAAGCATATTAGGGGTATTCTCTTGATCTTGAAAAATCCTTGCACGGTGCACCAATTGCATATATTTCCTCTTGGCGCAAACACACGCAGAAAATTATTTGCAATGGCTGTAAAATATGTCCGACCAAAACCCATGCTTATTTTCGTGCAATGACACGTAAAAGAATAATTGCAACCCCTGCCCTGTGCTAGCTGTCATTTTACGTAAACACATAGTTTGACGTTAAATTGTTGAGGAAGCTAAATTTAAATTATAAAGATTTAAATTATAAAGATTTGTTACAGTTTTTTTTTGTTAAGAATGAATGCAGAAGCTGCACCAATTCCCAATAGCCATACATAATAGTCATTTACAATAAATTAACCGAATCAGCCGTTGATATATTTCGGTATAGGATTTTTCAATATGCAATCTTGCATCACCAAGTGAATTCCACTATTGTAGCAAACACGAATGTTAGAACAAAACGATATATTGTCAGTAGTATCTCGGTAGGGAAATTCGTAGTTTCCACAATGTTCGAGTGGCGATGTTTTGGTAATTTCGTAACAACGGGGACACTGTTTGAATTAGTGTTAAGGGTATTTTCCAGCTCTCAAGAAATGTACAAACTTCATATAAAGAAACGTTTAAGAAATGGTCTGCGGTTAATTTACTTGTGCTAGTACGCAACCCTAAATAAAACTAAAAGTAACTTTTAATAAATATTTATTTAAATATTATATTATTTAAATATTTATTTTAATTTATTTTAAATTGCGAGTATGGCAACGCTATCTACAATTTTTTCTTGCAGGAAACTCAAAGTAATCGTTATATTCTTCCTTAATTAGTTAAAATCATTATTATGAAGTAAGTTTATTTTGAAATGTTATTTAAAACTTACCGATCATCAACAACATTCCTTAAACCGCAACGAATTGTTACTACACACATAAATATTACACACAAATTTTAATTTCTTTGTTTATTCTTTTTTGCTCTTCTAATGTGGATCATTCACAATGCGTAACTAGCTGTCAAAATTATTTGAAGAAATAATGTTGTTGTTTTTGAGCAATTACTTGAGAGCTATAAGAAATAAATTCCAATCACGAGTAATAACCGTTAAGTTGTTTCAGTAAGAAATGACGATAAATTCATAGACATTACATTGGGAGTTTTATTTAACAATTTAGTGATCGAACTCAAGAGTAAGTTACAAGGTAGACGATCGAGAAACCCGTAAAAATTAGTGTCAGAAGTGCGATTATCTAATAAATACAAAAAAGCAAGCAAATTACAATAACGGCACCGTGGCCATGGAAGCGGAAAACATTAGAACATGTTTTTCAATTGGAATTAGATGAAGAAACGACGAAGATAGAAATAATGGAAGATACTCAATGCTCATCAAGCCTTATGGACGTGGACATGTTTTTGGCTACAATATCGCAGATGTCAACGCAAATAAGATAGTTTATGGCCTCATTATAAACATGGTTCTCAATTCGAAGAGCAGTTCGCAGGCCAAGATGCACGTACAGCGCACAGGTTGAAAGAGCACAGGTTGAAAGAGCAGGATGAACGGACATCACAGAAAACTTCACAAATAACAGAGGTGTTCTCACAGATTTCGGAAGAGGGAGACAACTAAAGTGGATGAATTGCTCAGCTGTTCACGACTTCTGGTCTTAGACCAAGTCTCCTATGAGTAGTCGTCTGAATTAAAACTAAAGTGAGAAGGCGAATTATCCCTCCTAAGGGTTGTGCGCTGGGCTTGGGACCTGCCACGTAAAAAACGCCCCCAATGAAACGTAAAAAACATCTTCGGAAGAGAACCCGCCTTTTTGATGACGACCATGGCAAACGCATTAAGGATAACGGCATGCACCTGGAATATATATATATGGGTTGAGGCTGATCGACTTCGCCAGGGCCCGAAATATGGTTATCTGTGATACCAGATTCCAGTATAAAAAAATACATCAAGCCACCTGACTGTCTTCGGATTGAAAACGGAAACGGAAGACACGTCTCCAGTGTTCTAGATGTGCGTACGCTCCGAGGTCTTAACATCGACTCGGACCACTACCTTGTTGCAGCCAAGATTCGCATATTCGCCTATGTGCGGCAAAAAATACTCGTCACAAACACAAGGAAAGTTCGACATGTAGAAGCTGCAGCAAACTATTTGGACATTATCAGTGTGGCTTTAGGCCTGGAAAATCTA